AATTATTACGATACGTGATCCATTAATTATAATCCCATATGATCCCCCAAGGTAATAAATCTAATATTCTCCTGTAAATGATGTTTCTTCTTAAAATCAAAATTGTACCATAGCATTTATAATGAATGCACGCTCTTTACGGTTAAATTCGAAGAAGTTATATTCGTGATCTCTCTCTCTGCAAGCTTAACGGAGTGTGAAATAGGTATTTCACGGCATTTCGATGTTGTCGGAAAATTATGTAATCGAACTATTTACAGATACTCCAACGTTGATAAATTTTGACGAATATTGCCAACTTTGAGCATACGAATATCCTTTGCTATTTCGTGTCGATGATAACTTTGAAACAAAATTTACCCTGAACGAAACTAAACTCGACAGTTTATGTGTTAAAAGCACAATGGAAAAATAATTTTAAAAAATCTATCTTACTATTTTGCAATTTTGTATTTGAAAAGAGGACCAGTTGCCAAATTGTTGCAACAGACGAGCAATTCTATACCTGAATATTTGTGAAAATTTTGGAAACAGTTGTGTTTATTCAGGCACAAAACAATTCAACGCTTTCGACATTTTGTATGAACAAAGATACTGTAAATTTAGAGAATTTTCAAGAAATTTGGGACGGCAAATTGGAGCGTGAAGTATATTCATTAAAATGAAGTTATATTCGACAGCGAAATCGTTAGCAACGTTCATGAAGTGAAATTCATTTCCAGGTAAAAACCATGAAAAAATGTGTTATGGAAAAAAGAGAGGTAGTTTCACAAACTAGGCCAAATGCCTATGATTCCATAGCTTGATGGAACCTTTTATGCCTCTGTCTTCTCTATATTATCGTCTATACGCTTCCCCGCAATTGCTTTATTAATAAGATTATTTACTACCCTTACTGAACGTCATGCTTCTGTAAAAGCATGAAGGTTTAACTGGAATGGAAGTGTTATAAATACCCAATGAAATTATACTATTGATCAATATCACGATTTAACTTTAATGCACCGTCCAGATTTTTAATTTACGTACGTCATAAATATACAGAGGTAAATAATATTTTATTCGGTGAATAAATTCTTGGAATAGATTTAATAATGTTAGATCATAATATTCGAAAAATATTGAGGAAAACTCGATGATGTTATGCCTGAATGACAAATATGTATCTACGTTGAAATAAATTGAACGTTTATTTAATTCACGAATTCAAGGAATTCTCCATATGAAAAGCTATTCAAATACATGCTCGACACTGATTAAATTTTTCGCTTTTCACGCAGCAGAGATGCGAGCACTCGGTTATTTTTACGTGAAGTCAATCTCAATTTGATTGAAATTTATTTTTTGTTAAATTGATTTTTAATGAAACGTGGCATGAAGTGAGCAACTTTAATTAAAATGTGAATTGACGATAAAAATACTCAGAAATCATTAAATTAAATTATCTTTATAATTGTGTGTTTTTAAAAAATAATCATTGAACAGGATATGATATTTGTGAAACGATGATCGTAAGACGGATGATCCTCAATTTGTAACATAGAGCCCCATAAAAATAGTTAATCGTACTGGAACGTCAACGAAATGATTCATTTCGAAAATGGAGCAACATCGGCTTAGTCTAACACTCTGAATGACGCGTTTGTGTATAATAATTCATGCATACAGGTTGATCATGAAGATCGTTTTTCACGTTAGCGTGTCTCGTAAATACGGACTTGCACGTGTTTCTACGATAAACACATCCTTCGACAAATCGAAGGCGTTAAAATGCTTTCGACGATGGGTAACTGTATTTTTTTATTTCAATGATATTTCCACCAGTTTCATTTTCAGTGTTATTCGTATCAAAATTGAAATTTAAGTCGTTTCAGAATAATTTATGAAACCCCAAAAAGCTGTAAATAAATTTTTAAGCACACTTTTTATTAAAGTTATACAAAATTTTGTGAATTTCTTTTGTAAATTTTGAAATTTTTTTTAGTAAAAGATTATTTAATGATACAAAATTTTAAATAAAACAATTGAGTATATCTTTTCGAATTTAATTTCCAATTCCACGTTATCTCTAAGCAGATTACACTTTGCAATGATTTGCGTTTGAGTATATTTCAATGCCGTACATCAAAGTGTTCACAAAAGCTCGTAGAAGGCTGGGAGATGAGCAAATGGTCGATTTCTATGAATGTACTACATGTATTTCTTTTAGCCGAATTCAGGACACGAAAAGCTATTCAAGCACATGCTCGACGTTGATTAAAATTTCTGCTTTTTAAAGTAGCAGGCATGTAAAGATCCTATTACGTCAAGTCAATCTGAATTTGATTAAAAATTTATTTTCTCTGGAATTGTTTTGTTAAAGCGTAACACGAAATCTTAATTACAATTTCAAGTAGCGATAAAATAACTGTGTTTTGATTAAATAAACATGTGAAGTTATTTTACCGATGAATTATTGATTCTTTGTACCCATTTACATAAAATTATCATCATTAAATATGTGCTATAGATTTTAAAACAACCTTCTAGCTGAAGCATAAAACCATGGCCATTTTAAAATACCTTCATAATTGATTTTCAGAGCTTGAAATTAAGTATTAATAGATTGCGATTTTTATTACTTTCCAATAATTAATAAGCAAATATGAGGTGAAATTTTTTTTGTTAATAGATATTTTTTTGTTAAAAGATATAGCGTACGTTTTATCAGCTCTTCAAATTGAATAATTGAAACAAGAAATATTAAATATTTCATTCATTCGCGAAGTTCTAATAAAAATTCGATGGTCGATAATTGAAATATTATAAGCTGTAATGAGCTGTAATGAACTGTAATGAGCTATAATGAGTATAATCAATTTGATAATTAGATACGTTAATGATTTTAATAGAAAGATAAATTGAACTTTATGCCATCGTTGTACTTCCATTGCAACACTTTATTATTTAAACGTTCCACTGCATCATTTTCTATTAAAATTTAAATTTTGTCTGATAACATTTTGCATATTGAAATACATATTATCATAATTAATAACTGAAACATTATGTAATGTATTTAAAGCTACGATTGCACAATAAAATTCATTAAAAGAAAATCTGATAAAACTGATACAACGATTTATTCATTGTGTACTGTGCTAACATTGTCAGGAACGAACTGGTCGGGACACTTTAATTAGAAAAATATTTGATTGGAATGCGCTTGTCATTCGACGTTGCGAAACAATGCAGAATTTACAATCTACTATTTACAATGAGATGACTGTCAGTCGATGTTGTCTTGCCAAATTCAACTATGTTTTAGAGTCTATTTTCTCTGTACCAGCTCCTTCTCGCAAACATAGAACGATTAAGCAGAGAAATATAAAAAGATACACATAAATTGTCAACTTTAAAATCCCTCGGAATTTTAGCCGTCGTCTCTATTTTTATTTTATTTTCTACCAAATTACACAGTAACTATGTACCTCGAAAATTTCAACTTCACAAATATATTTTAATTAATTTCTGTCCTTTTAATTAAAAACTTCTGAATGTAGATTTTTTGTATAGTATTTTTCAACTAAAATTAACCTCTTACATATTTTTGCAAGCATCTCAGCCTCTCATTTAAATTTTCATGTCAAACCGTACGTTAACAAGGAACACCATTAGCCATTATACGAGCTATGAAGCCTGTCAGAGTTTCAGAATTCTCTTTTCTATTTATTCTCTCTTCCCTGAAAGATAAGAGAATAACTCTTCGGCTAAATAACGACGAGCGAAGATCGTAAAATGTTGGAGAAAAATGAAGACCAGAACCTTCTAGACATTCGTTGTTATTCCATTATCATAATTTTACAGTCGAAAATGTTGTGCTGGTTACAATTTTATTTTCGAACATCTGCGATATTAATTCTGAAATATTGGGTTAAAATTAGTTGCTCGATTGGATTATTTATTGAGTATGAACCTTTTAAGAATCATGTGTTTTTCACATTATTTTTAGATGTTATCAATAACAATTTCACAATAAGTCTATCATAATTTCATGACATAAAAGTATTGCTAAATGGCACTTATGGTACATCAATTTAAAACTTGGAATCATCATCGTCTTCTGAAATATAGCCATTTAATATTATTTCAAAATATCATTTTTCAATATATCACCAACATTATCTTTTTATAACAATATCGATATCAAAGCTGAATAATAACCAACCACCTGCACATTTAAAAGGAATACTTAATTATATCAAAGATTTTAAAATAGAAACTCGATTGACAAAAGCGACTCGAAGTTTCAAACATTTCGATTATTCGATTAAATTGTCATTTAAACAACTCGTCAGAAATTATTATTACCAAGTCATGGTCGAGTGCAACACGATGAAAGGACTTAACGCATAGCATGATGCACTATTCCACTTAACTTCCTCAAACAGACGTTGATGCGTCTTAGCTTTGTTGTGAAAGCAAGAGGAATGAAATTATGACATGTTTCGACAAAAGTATTCTGTCTTGCCAAATTATTTCAAGCTCCTACTGGCGATTATTTCTCTCTGTTTCTGCTTGTTCGCTTTGAAATAAGTAAGAAATACTTGACGTTACCAGCTTGTTCTCGATTCCTCTGTACTTTCTCAATTTTCTCGTAAATCGTTCAACATGATTAAAACTTCACTTAGTTCACTCGTTACGTTACGCTTTGTCGGTCATGAAAATAACATACTTTGCAAAAACCATGAAATTGGATTTATTGCAATTACTCAACACATGGTCCTTTCATTTTTTTTTAAAGAAAATTTCATTTCTTTCTGTTTTCTTAATGGAAATTAAATTTTTCTTAAATAACTCACATTAATTCAAACCAAATTTTCATGCCAGAGCTTGTTCATTCATCACAATACAATGTTCCAGAATTAACTTGTTAACCTGATATAAATTTTACACGCGTCTTTATTTATTACCCAAAGTTGTACCTCTGATACTGATCAAACATTTAATGCTATTTCCAGATGTTCCAGCAATCACAGTGCGATACAATGAAATAAACGAGGGGAAAAGAAAGTTTCTGAATTAGAAAGCAATTACACTTGAGATACAGTAAGAAGTTATCACATAAAAGGAAATGGAAGCCACTGAATGGAATATCGCTGAAAGCAGTGGCGAAAATCACCAAAATGAGTGCCTAAAGAAAATAATGAAGATATATGAGAATTGAAGAGAAGAACAGAATAAAAAAATAAGTCAAAAGTATTATAGAAACAATTAACAAGCACAAGAAGGTGGAACAATTTAATATGCCCTAAATTAATTTAGTAAAAAGAAAAGCAATCATAATCAAATCAAGTTATAGTATTAAAAAGAAATTCATTTAATTTATAAGCAATTCGTTAAACCAATCTTTAATATAGAAATATATAAAATGTGCTTCGAATCATATTAACCTTGCTTCGTAATAAAAGATACAGCAAAAAAAAGGAAGTTTAATTAATACAGTTCAATTAATATTCAATCCTATGTTAAGAACAGAGGATTGTTAGTTAAAATGATCGTACGAAACTTATAAAACTTCTGTACAAAGCTGTTCATATGATGTGACAATGTTGCCTTTGGAATATCGCGAATTCAGTGTGGTGATGTTTTAATTTCGTGAAACAATTAAGCCAGTTCACAAAGGAGAAGTGGTATCACCGGGTCGATCAAATTTATATTCCGGCTTACTCAAAGGATCAAACGAAATGGCAAGTCGAATGAAGGCTTTATACAACCAGGTATGAGACCAATTTGAAGTTAAATTAGCCATTTTATTTGCATCCCTTTTAACTCTATACGTCAGCTATAATTCTTTATTTCAAGGAATAACGAAGTAACTTTTTTTTAAAAAATATAGTCACAGAATCTACAATGGAAAAATTTTAAATTTTTTAGAGTGCTACATCTTCTCCATGATCTTTAGTGGAAAATATGGTTTTTTTTATGTACATAGGTAATGTTTGAGAGACGGATACTTCTTGGCTGTACCATTCTTGTGGGACTATCGGTGTGCATATGGGCGGTTGCCATTGGAACCGATCATTGGTTCACGGTTGAAGCACCGGATGAAACAGGTCTACCCCTTGGGGATGCTGGCAAAGCTGGCAGAAGATTGATCTATAAACATATGGGTCTCTGGAGAGGCTGCATCCGGGGGGTAGCACCAGAATCCGTAAACTCCACCGTGATGGTTCCATACAGTAAGTGGATAAAATTTCGAAAAAATTACCTCCTGAAATGACCGAGTTTAATACCTTGAATAAATAACTAAATATTCTTTCTCTTCAACGTATCAATTTAAATAATTAAATTCAACGAAAAGTGTACCGTAATAGTTGGCTCGAATGCACCTCGACTCTACACCAATAATAATTAAACTGAATTAAGCTTGCGACAAGCGTAGTGTAACGCGTTCCCTGAAATGACCAGCGAGAAATCCTACGTCTTCGTTAAACGAACGACCCAGAAGAGCCTTATAAACTGTATAAATTTAAGGGTTACACAGGTGCTATGAAATGCCAAATTTCGAGGGATAAGTGGTGGCATTGTTTCAAGACTAACGGGAACGTTTGTCAGAGAAAATGCATTATCACAATTAACCCTGTCTAATGAATAATTTAGCATCGTTCGTATTTGAATATCTCGAAAATCTAAGTTGTTATCGAGAAGATAATTTTCTCACGTTGAAAATCAATTTAGAAAAAGAAGAATGTTTCCAAAGGATTGTGTAATGATTTTTAGAAGTTCGAATAATACACAGTTGTATTTGTAATATATTGGTTCAAGAATCCTCCCTCGAGTGCTGCGTTTTCATCATTTGCTTTGAGCCAAACCAATGCCCACCAACAAGCGTTGATTTATTGCATTGTTAGGTAAAGAAGGCGGGATATTCGTTAAATATGTCATGAAGAGTTTTACCACACCTCGATAAAGAACACGTGATTATAAACTCTTCGTGGTACTTAATTCATAATGTTTATTTCCATGTGGTGCTGTTAGCTTGGTCAGAGGTGAGGAATTCTTTTTCTGTCGATGCTTTTCAACGAAAATGTTACTATTTTTTCCTCGTGACTTTCTCCCAAAGCAGTAGGAGGACCAAAATAATATAAGGAACACGACATTGGGAGCCTACATTGTTGATTTCGCAGTTTGCAGTTAATCATCCCGTGTCAGGAATTCGCGTCTGTGCTTCCACACTCACTTGTCACGTGTCACGTCTAGTGTTCCACACGTGCACTTCATCATGCACACGTCAGAAACACTAAATTAAGCAACTGTAATATCTCGCTGGATTATCTTCAGATTAATCTGTTCCAATTATTATAACAAAGAGAATCAATTAATCTAACGTTTAATCTAATCAGCAGTTCTCAATATTTCTAGAAGATCGTGTATACGTTGCTGTCGTTCAAGCAGTCTTATCAACGTGATTTAATATCAACATCCCTAATTCACTGGAAAGCTATCATCGGTTATTTCAAAACATTTAATTCGAATATTCAAGTGTTTACCTGCTCTATCAAATGATAATTACAATTGAAAAATTAGTCATTTTTCTGTGGACGTGAAATGCAAGAGTAAGAATTTAATTATTCGTAATTTAACGCGGAGAAAATTGATATACCTAATAGATTATATCTAGCCTAACGGAAGGGTTAAATATCACGCGGTCTAAGTATCGATCATGCCGTTATTGTCCGTTGAACCACGTTTAAACGCTGCTCGTAAAAATAACTTATCATGACACCAATAACGCGTTCCAGGCAAATGAAGATAACTCGGGATGAGATAATAGTAAATTGTGGTTTATGAAAGAAATCAAGACAAATGGGGGAGGTGGTTATACCGAACCAAGAATTTAACTTGCATCAGTTTATGAATGGTATCCGCACTGATTGCAATCTCTTTCAACTTTACTTCATTCTTCCAGAGGAATGCAAGAACCTGGACATGTTCCCGACCGACATGCAGATCAAATTGGATCCCGGATTGAACAGAACCGTTGTCAGTGAGTAAAACCACAAGGTTCATAAAATATTTTTCAACTTCAGAAACTCTCGAGTTTGCTCTATTAAAGTTTCTATTACCAAGTTGAACGTATTTCTATGAATTTTCTATGAACACCTTTGAAACTTTTCTCTGTCATTGGTGAACTCAATGAATACTCCCGCGCGATACTTTTAAATCGTAATTTAAAATCATTGGATTAACGTTCTAAAGAATCGTGTTATTTTCAGATTATTCCAGGACACAGGTGTCGTTCGCATTGATCAGCCTGTTCGTAATGATAATGGGCTTCTCTTTCTCCATCTATACGTTCCGTAATCCACGATACATGTTCAAACGACTGGCCGGTGGAATACACTTCATTAGCGGTAATTAATAATTATTACAACTGAAGTTTCTTGTGCTTATGGAAACGAAACGATGAAATACCTTCAGAGGCACTTGTAACTTCTAAATTATTGTTCTATTGCTACGTAATTACTCGTTACGATCAGTATGCGAGTTAGGGAAATATGAAACTTTCGTGATTAATTATCGTTACAGGTGCTTGCAACATGGTGGTGATACAAGTGCTTCTATCATCGATCGAATTCGAAAGTAAATACGTATTCGCAACATTTCCTAAGGGTGCGGTAATGAGGTACGACTTCTCTTTGATTCTCGCCTGGATCGTGTTCCTGTGCAATTTGCTGGCAGGACTCGCGTTCATGGTGTTCTCCAGGAAACGCAAGAGGGACAAAGCGCCCACGGAAGAGATCGCGATGGCCGATGAACCGACGATCATCGGTCGTTGAATTCGTTCCGGATTTCTTTCTCAGACTTTACTGAGAAACATGGTCGCGTGCGCGAATGGAAATTTATGATTCAGGGTATCGTGCATGGATCGACGGTAATAAAAGACGGATACGTAGGAATCGTACGGGAAAGAACGAGAATATTTCAAACGATTTCTGAACGATTAGAAACTTTCAGATCGTTGCAAATTTTGAAAGCGTTGGAAGATAAAATGTTTTGGTGCACTTGCTTCGTTTCGTCCCTCAAAATTAACAATTCGATTAATTTTGGGAACTCGTAATTTAATCTAAATAATTTTGGGAATATCGTAATTAACAAAGGTGAAAATTTGCACAATTATAAATATTCCATAAGGGAAACAATTCGATTTCTACTGAAACTTAATAGAACGATTGAAATTCTTAATTAACAACGATTTTTAAATTAAATCGTATGAATGAAAGTTGAAATATATTTAGTGAAAAAATTCTCTGCGGTCGTTAAAATTGTGAAACGCAAGTGCACTGTGTTCTCTGATCCTTCAACACCCCCACCCCCTCAAACACTTGAAGTAATCGATACTGTCATAAAGCAGTTTTGCGATGTACTTTGAAGATATGAATTGTCTCGTTACCTCGTATTGAACAATCAACAATTAGAATAGAAATACTCGGAGAAGAACACGATTCGAATGAAACCTACACGATAAATGCAATGCTATTTTTCTACTACGTTGAAATGATAAAATTTAAGACACTTTCTACGGTGGGACCATTGCATATAAATTGAAGAAATGTTTCCCCTTAAGAAAATTAAATAGCAATAGTCCTTGCGTATTCATAATTATTTTTCTACGTGAAACCGTATATTTTTCTACCCTATTCTATAATATATACGAATCGTAAAAAACAAGAACATATATATTAACCCTTTGAAGAATCTGAAATAAATCAGAATGAAAATGTGGTTCATCGTGGCAACAGGATAGTTTGAAAACTATAATAATTGTAAATAAATGTTCATATCTATATAATAGAAAATTTGGAATGTATTTAACGCCATCGTTGTCTCTGTTAAAGGTGGTGAAGTTTCACTCGTGCGATATTCGAAATTGAGAAACTATTTTGGCTATTAATTACGACAGTAATTTGCAATCTCTAAGAACAGACAATTCTGGGGGTGAGAGGTGGGTTACATATAGGATACAAAAGATCGTTCCTCAAGGATACATATTACCATTTTCAGGGAACAATATAGTTCTATAATAAATAGATATGATCCTCAGTATAATCAAACTTTTCGATTCTAGTCGTTATCTAGTCATTGTTCCTCGTGAATGAAACGTTAATCGAATCTTAAAAATATGACCTCGTGTCACTAAAGAATATTTAAAAAGAAAATACTTTGTCCGTTCATAGATAATGTCACGCCCAATCTTTTAATTAAACCTTTTAATTAAATCGAAAATGGTGCAAAGTGAAATGTATACCAAAAAATGTAAGTTAATGATATTTAAAAATAATCCTTGCACCATTTCCGCTTTTGAATACTCCAACAGTTCATCCAACGAGACGAAACAGTAAATGTGTACATATATTGACTCGTCTGATTGGACGGATTATAGTATTTAAATTTCATGACGACTCTAGTCTTCTGTTTATTCGAGTAAAACGTTTCTCGTCAGGTTTTTTTATTTATATTTTGAACTGCGACGCGTTAAACAATTTGTGATTGTTTGGAGTTTCCAGTTTTGTTACCCCCTTTGTTTCCTGAGATTATGTGAATCAACGTTCGCTGATCGTTAATCGAACACGCAATACTTATTAATCTTTAATATCTTTCAATGTCTTTAAGAAATAAAACAGAAACAAATTAAATAAGTTATATCGTAGTTTAAGTACTCAACAAAGTATGTTAGATACTAATTCGTTTTCAAGAATGTTGTTGGAAACTACATGCCCTGTTTAGAGCTATGGAGAAGTTTTTAAGGAAGTTATAATCATTGCATCGATTAGCAAACGTTGATCAAAGAATGATTTACACGAAAGTGTCTGGTTGAAAGTTCCTTCGCCTTTTGCTTGTTGAGTATAAGCAGCTGCCCACGCGTTCTAATAAAAGACATCTACTTTATACACATGTACGCGAACACGAGAATTAATTGTAATTGCTCTTTTCCACGACCGAAATAAAGCGTATTCACGTTTATCGATGAAATTTCGTTTCGTCTGTTCCTTCCCTCCACGCACAGAGGGGGAAAAATGAATTTCATTTGAACAGTTTTATGAGTTGCTCGCTTGAAATAAAAATGAAACTTTTAATTCTTTGACTCACCGAGCTGATGAGCACCATGAGGATGATCCCCTCTGATGATCTTAGCATTGGTCGACCGATCTGTAATTAATAAAACAATAACATTACATTTGTGCCATTTTGAATTTACTATAATAATTCAATGCAAATTACTTAATAATAAAACTTACGTTTGTTTTGACGAAAATTCATTTAACAGTTACATATTGCGCTCCTGTGTTTTATTTTTTATTCCAATGTAATTCTGTAACAAAAAAAGAACATATTTTTTCAAATACGTGCTTCAGTTCTACATCATTTGTATTCAACCAGTCAATATTTCAATTTTTTAATATTAATCAGATTTCAATGCTTATTACATTAATAAAAGGGGTGAATCATTGTATAATAACTGTTTTTGAATTGAAATAATGGGACAATCAGCAAATACGCAGGCTTGAACACTGGTTGAAGTAAATAGGATATTTGAATTTCCCGCTAAAAAGTTTTGAACATTATCGACGCCATATTGAAAAAAAATCATGATTACTTTTCTCAATTTAAAACATTAAATTACAGGAAAAACAGTAGAAAAAACATAAGAAATTAATGTTATTTAAGAAATTAGTAACATACACACGGAATAAATAAGGAAAAAATTATTTTAATTCGTATGTACATCGGCGGAATAACCAAAAACGTGGAAATCAATCATCACACTTTACAACAATAAATTATGAGGAAAAAATACTAAAAACACGAAAAAATGTAATAATGTTCAAAGATTATTGGCATTAAAGGGAAGGAATTAAGATAATGTTGTTCCAATCTCAATTGCAAGTCGCGGCAAGAGTAAAAAATTTCAACTCACGTCTTTTTTAAGACAACGCCGAATTAATGTCAAAAATGAAGAATTTGTAGTTGTCTTCGGCTATTCTTTCTATTTTTCGTATTTTTAACACTCGAAACACAATTTAATTTTATATTTGAAGACAATTGAATCTTACTTACTTACTTGTTGCAAAGGCGTGCGCACAGGACGAAAGGGAAGTTACGTACTGAATCAGACTTGCGTACTCTTCCTATAGTGACGACTCTGATTGGTCGAAATGGGACAGCCAATCAGCGCCATTGGTCCTTAAAATTGCGTAGTTCGTAATTTTAATACAAACGAAAACGTTCACATAACAAAAACCAAAGAAAAAATCGAATAATGTTTTTTTAGCAACACTTGTTTTAACGTTTCAGATATATAGGAAAATTGTCGATATACAGAAAAAACAATTAAGACAGTACTGCGTCAGTTTGAGTTTGAATTCAGAACAAGAGTAAAAATTTTCAACTCACACATTTCTGAAGAACATACCGAATTGCTATTAGAAATCAGAAATCTTGCTTTCTCTTCGACTTTTCTTTCTGTTCTTCGTGCTGCTTATACCCGAAATGCAATTTGATATAATATTTTAATATCATTTAATCTTACTTGTCACATACGTGGGCGCTGAGGACGAAGGTTACAAAAAAAATGGCGTCTATGAAAAACCTGTGCAATCAGCCAATGACGACGATTCTAATTGATTGAAAATGAACGACCAATCATGGTCATTGATAGTAATTTCAAATAATGGTAAACCTTAAAATAATAAACCCCCCAAAAAAAGAACGAATAATGTGGTTTTTTTAGCTTCCTTGCAGCATCCATGTTATTTTACACAACAAAGAGAAATATTAATTTATTAATAGCTTTCCATGCAGTAATTCTGCTTATATCTCGTCTATATTAATATGAAATTTTATGGATTTTACTTAAATAGAACTCTATGGGTTCTTCCTACATATGCTAATGTATAACCTGATGGAATCATACAGAGCAGCACCTGAGAGGTGTAAACAAAACCTCGAAAGTGGACACTCTGTTCCTCTCCGCTTTTATCATGACTTTTTTTTAGAAAATAAAATATTAGCCTGTTCAACAATCCCAATGAAAATCCCTAGACTCAATTGCGTGAAAACATGACCGATACTTATAAATGATAAGAGAATCGAATTTTTTATCATATAATTAACAAAAATTTTGTTTTTGATTCAGGTAGGCTAGATCTTTAAGCGTGTAATAAATGATAAGCAAGATACGAGCACGTATAACAGATAAATGATAAATAACATTAAATATATCATGCTTCTCACTTTATAGATTATTCTAAACAAGATATAATTATATCTGCTTTAAAATTACATTTTGTTAAACATTTATACTGTTAACATATTAAAAAATCGTTTCCCAATATTTTAATTTATTTATTAATACATGTATAATGTTCATATGAGTTCCATGGTAGGTTATGTTTATATTATTTAATACAATAACAGATTGTATAGCAGAAAAAACAATTATTACTCTTACATTACATATGTTTTTGTAACTTAAAAACAAGAATAAAAACACTACACTTAAGTATTTCCTTTAAAGGAAAAATCAATGAGATATGAGAGACAATAATTTATTTATATAGAAAAATATGCATATTGTAAATAGCTTAATAATTAATAATAACTAATTTTATTGAATACAATTGTACAGTACTACAATTGTTACAATGATTGAAACAATTAACATTTTGTGTATATAATTATTAGTCGTATATTGAAAAATAAGATTTAAGAATTATACATTGACTTCATGAAACCACATATAAAATTATGTATGTAGTTATATATGTAAATGATTTGTGTTGATGTAAATGGTATACAGAACATCTTTATAAGATGTATATGGTAGTCCTAATACAACTTTGAACCTGAAACTATATTTATCTAATGAAAAGAATTAATGAAGAAGCTTAAATTTCTTCTAATTTTTTAATTTTATATTAGTACATAAGATTTTTGTGAAGTCTTTACCGAAATAATTTATTATAATAAAGCATATTCATTTCTTATAGAATATACATAACATGTTAAACATGAATGGTATAATACCTGAAATGGAACAAATTATTAGTCAGCTAGAAAGGGGAACTGTGGTAACCAAATTTTTCTCAAGAAAAAGGCCTGAAAAAAAGACTCTCATGATAAGAAGAGAGACCAGACAGATTGTCTGGTCAAGAAGCGCAACATTTAGACCATTTGATGGCTCAGGTAAAAGTACTTTATTCTATAAACATAATTATAAGATGATTCATTACAGTCTAATAGTACTTTATGTTTCAAAGAAAACACATTTAACCAACATTAACTGGAATAAAAATGAAAATATTAGGAAATATATGTTTTTATATATTAACAAACAAGTTTTTATTACATTTGTATGTAAATTCAATAACAATGCAGTTGATATAAATTTCCACCTAACATTTTAGGCACACATATTGCATGGTTATGAAGATATATCTACAGCAAAAATGGGCAAAATATTATCTGAGGATACTAGTTATAGGTCAAAAACCTGAAGGAAAGGTCCTTGTGAATAATGTATATGGGTGAGTTTATAGTAAAGGTACAACCTAAATCAATTAATGAATTGCATCTAACGGAACTTGTATATACATGTTTTATGTCTGATGTTTAAATAAATTATCTTTTTTTTCTGATATTTGACTAGTTTAACCATAGTAAAGTAAATGTTTATATATGTATCTTAGTGGACATTTCCTTCATTTTTGGTCTACAAACAAATGTGCCCATGGATACTGTTGATATATTGGATCAGCCCTATTGGATATCATGGGTATTTGATTAAAACTACAACTTTATAAGTGTTGTTTCACCTTAATTGTATATATAGGATTATGTATTAAGAAAAGAATTATTTTTTATATTTTTTTATTAAAATCTTTCAAAAGAAATGCAGTTTAATCTCCCATTCTTCCATAGTATTTAAAACAATATTTTTACACCTTATGTTAATACACAACACATTAAATATATGTACATAGTGTGTAATATATATATACATATTTGTAGTACCATATCATATGTTCATGTTAAATGCAGAACCATGCGCCTATATAAACTATATTAAAAAAGATCTTATTCCTGATTTTAGTTGAGATAAGAGAAATCAAAGAAATTAAAGTAGGAAAGCACTCTAAGGATTTTGAAAAATGGCCAGAAGATGCAAAAAGAATTGAAAATCTTAGGTGTTTTGTTGTATACTATGGTTCTGAATTTCGACTTAAAACTCTTTCTATTTCTGGTAAGTATATTTTTATATTGTTGTTCATTAAATAACTGTACTGTCTTATATATCGATTTTAGCTCTTAGTGAAAAGGAATGTGAACTCTGGGTAAAAGGATTACGTCGTTTAGTTCAAGATACTATAAAGGCTCCATATCCTTTACAAGTTGAAAGATGGCTAAGGAAAGAATTTTATGCTATGGAGAACTCGAGAGAAACGTACATTCTTAATTATTTAAATATACAGTTTTCCCTTTATTAAGTTCGAGTATTTAATTTCATATATTTTTCAGGGTTACTTTGAAAGATATGAAAGCATTTTTACCTAGAGTAAATTGTAAAATAGCAACGAATAAACTTAGGGAACTCTTTCAAGAAATAGATACGAGAAATAGGAATGAGCTTGGTTTTGACGATTTTGTTGTACTTTATCACAAACTTATGTTTGATCAAAACGTGAGTTCCTAATTTATTAATATCTTTAGTCGTTTATTTCTAATTTATAATATTTTTCTTTATAATTATAACATATTGTACTGTTACATTTGCAGAACCTTACAGACTGGAGTAGATTGCTTAATTATTCGAAAACTGGACAAATCGTTACTGTCCAAGATTTTCAAAACTTTTTATTAACTGAGGAACAAGATCCCTTAGGAAATAATGAAGTCGAGGTGTCATGTTTTATTAGAGATTATTTACAAGATCCTCAAAGAGACGTGCAAGAACCACACTTTACGTTTTCAGAATTTATCGATTACTTATTTTCAAAACAAAATTCTGTGTGGGATTCAAAATATTCTAGAATTTACCAAGATATGACTAAACCTTTGGCACATTATTGGATAGCTTCATCGCATAACACGTAAATATCATACCCTTTCTTCTCAGGTGTAAATATATTAAAATAAATACAAAATTTATAATTAAATAAAATATTATTACAGATATCTAATGGGTGACCAAATTAGCAGTGAAAGTAGTTGTCAAGCTTATGTTCGCGCTTTAAGAGCCGGGTGTAGATGTATAGAACTTGATTGCTGGGATGGACCAGATGGAATGCCATTTATTTTTCATGGTCATACACTTACTACAAAAATCAAATTCCTAGATGTCATCAAAACTATTAAAGAGCATGCTTTTGCTACTTCCGAGTAAGTATTTATTTCTTACTTCTTCGTTTCTTCGTTTCAAAAGTTTGGATATAAATGCATTTTTTATATAGCTATCCTGTAATTTTATCCATTGAGGATAATTGTACACTACCTCAGCAACGTAAAATGGCAATTACGATGCAAGAAGTATTTGGTGATATGTTATTAATTCAACCTGTAGATAAAAATGAAACTTCTTTACCGTCACCGCATGCATTAAGAAGAAAGATAATATTAAAACATAAAAAGTTACCCGATGGTGTTGATGAAACATCATTTCTTATTCGAAATGATGAAAACAGGCAAGAGATGGATCTTAGAAATACTGTTAAAAATGGTATTCTTTACCTTGAAGATCCTGTCGACAGAGAGTGGAATCCACATTTTTTTGTATTGACCCAACAAAAATTATTCTATACGGACACGTTTTCCAGAACACAAGAAACTGAACACGATGACGATGAAGAAGGTGCAATTCGGCGACCAACAGACGTATGTATAAACAATAAGTGTTTTAAATTCAATGGTATTTATTGAATTTTATTGTTGATTATAATGTAGGGAGTTCCAAATGATGAGCTACATTTTGGAGAGAAATGGTTTCATGGTAAATTAGCAAAAGGACGAGAAGAAGCGGAAGAGCTATTACGACGTTACTCCCATCTTGGTGATGGTACTTTTTTAGTTCGACAATGCGTTACATTTGTAGGAGATTATTGCCTTTCTTTTTGGCGCAAAGGAAAAGTAAATCATTGTCGTATTAAACTTAAACAAGAAATGGGTCAAACACAATATTACCTCATTGATACAAACTGTTTTGATAGTTTGTATAGTTTAATTACACATTATCGTAATCATCCTTTAAGGAGCCAAGTGAGTATAAACAATATTTAATGCGGTGATTAATTTCAGTGTCTGGTTTTCATTTTAATAGTTATTACAAATGTAATGAACAGGAATTTTTAATCACACTTCAAGAACCTGTACCACAACCAAATAAACATGAAGAAAAGGAATGGTGGCATGCAGACTGTACCCGGACTCTAGCTGAAGAAATGTTAAAACGAATTCCTTCGGATGGTGCATTTTTAGTGAGACCAAGTGAAAAAGAAAGCAATTCTTATGCTATATCTTTTAGGTAAAATATATTTAAGTATTGTTATACGAAATTGACAATACACTTCCTAATTGTAATTTTTTTTCCGCTTGATTCCAGGGCAGAGAAGAAAATAAAACATTGTAGAATTAAATTGGAAGGACGTCTATATACGATTGGAAGTATACAATTTGAAAGTTTGGTCGAATTAGTTAATTATTATGAAAGGCATCCACTATATAAAAAAATAAAATTGAGTCATCCGGTAAATCAAGATGTTATTAGGAGAATGGGATTGGTATGTAACATATTTTTTCAAGTATGTTTCATATTTTTAGGTTATTCAATCACGTTTTTTCTATGTTCAGGATGCAGATGACGGCTCAGTTTATGGTATTCCTGGTTATATGGATCCCACAAGTTTTGCGTCAAAAGTAAGTTTTACTAATAAAACCATTAAATGTATAGAATGTAATGGATTTGATTTCTTTTGAAGGTAACTGTAAAGGCTATCTACGATTATAAAGCAAGAAGAGATGATGAGTTAACGTTAGTTAAACACGCTATAATAACAAACGTACATCGGCAAAGCGGAGGTTGGTGGCGAGGAGATTATGGCGGTAAAAAACAACATTGGTTTCCTGCTAGTTATGTGGAAGAAATAGAACCACAGGATAACCAAGGAGATGTTAGTTTATTTCTATTTCATTTATGTTTCTCTGGTTCATTATGTATTTAATATTATTGTTTTAATTTTTGTTTTCAGTCAACTGATTCTATGATGTTTGGTAGCCTACAAAAAGGATCATTGGATATTATGGGTGCTGTTGTTGAATTAAGAGTAGGTGGTAGACCTGGATTAGAATGGATATTGAGAATACAAAATCCTAGCATGTGTTCAGTATTCGAAGTAGCGACTTCTTCGAAAGATACAGCACTCGAATGGATGTCCAGCATTAAAGAAACTGCACAAAATGCTAGTGTTAGGGTAAACATATAAAGCTTTTTACTTTTTTTAAACCATTCGAAAGTAAGTATATTACAAAAATCAATTATATTTTTATTACTTTATTTAGGAAAATCAACATAAAGAAATGGAACGTGCATGGAGAATAGCAAAAGAAATGTCAAATTTAATAGTTTATTGTAGATCTGTTGCATTTAATTTAGAAAGAGTAAGAACTAAAGGTTTTATATTTAATGAGATGAGTAGCTTTCCCGAAACGAAAGCTGAGAAACTGATGTGTCAACAAGAAAATAAATTTTTCATAAAATATCATCAGGTAAAATTACATCCGTAAAAAGAATTTGCAATGGACTTATGGTTTTGCTTTCATAGGTTCAATTCAGCAGAGTATATCCAAAAGGACAACGTATTGATTCATCAAATTATAATCCCGTGCCAATGTGGAATGCTGGTTGTCAAATGGTAGCGTTAAATTATCAAACTGGAGATAAATCAATGCAACTTAATCAAGCAAAATTTAAAGAGAATGGCAATTGTGGTTATATTTTGAAACCCGACTTTATGTTTCGAGATGATTTTAATCCTTTCGATAAAAATTGCTTATACGGAGTAGAGTCTCTTAAATTTAATATAAAAGTTATCGGTGCTAGGCATTTAATTAGAGCGGGTAGGGGTATAGCTAGTCCTTTTGTTGAAATTGAAATTATAGGAGCAGATTTTGATTCTGGTACAAAGTTAACAACAAAAACGATACGTAAGTAAAACAGTATTATACATTTAACTATTTTGACGCATGTATAATAATTTCATTTAAATTATAGCTGATAATGGATTTAATCCCATGTGGAACGAATCTTGTGAATTCGAAGTTTTAAACTCATACTTCGCGTTCATACGATTTGTAGTGCAGGATGAAGATATGTTTGGTGATAGTAATTTTATTGGACAAGCAACGTTTCCTGTATGTAACAAACAAAAAATTATTACTTCAAAATTATTAATTGAATATTTTATTTCAAATCTATATATCTCAACATCTAGGTTCGGTGTTTGCGATCAGGATATAGGAGTGTTCCATTAAAAAATAATTTTAGCGAAGATCTTGAACTTGCATCGTTATTAATACATCTTCGGATGACATCTTCAGAAGTAAATACAAAATTTAATTATCCTTCTTTTCTAATATTTTTTAAATACATGTATACTTTAATATTATGAATCGCTATTCCAGAATCATCCGCATAGTTTATAAAACCAGTATTGAATTATGCACAAGCTTATAAATGTTTAAAGAATTTTAAAATTGCGTGAAGGTAAGAATTAATACTTCTTCAAAAAGTGTGATTTATATGTTTAGTGTAAATATCACTAGATGAAATATTTCGTTCAGGATCTTAAGTAAAATATTGTTATAGAAGACTGGTTATTTACAAAAATTATACTTCACAAATTAAAATTGGTGGTTACAGAAAAAAATATGCTCATCTTTGTAACCTAATTATATAGGTGATTTAGGGATTTAATGTTATACATAATATAAAAAAGAAATCATTACAGTATTAAATAGTAGAGGAATGGTTAGAAAAGAAGTTCAATATAAAAAATGCAATAATTTCTTATAAAAAGTAACATGTTACAAGGATATAGTAATATGTTTAATCAAATCATTGTAAATAACATATAAAACATGCTTTTATCATGCTACTAGGTATCTTGATTTATTTGAATCATTCATATCAAAAGAATGAATTATATCTTTTGAAAAAATTAATGTGATTTCGCACAATTACCTTTAAATGTTTAATGTAGAAATTAACATATCTTTACATATCTTTAACTTTTAAAGTATATCTTTATTAAAATTATATTTGTATTTTTTCTTTTATTTCGACAAAAATAAATTAGAACAATAAGACTATACACATTATATTTTAGACTGAACTAACACGCATAATACGCTTCCAGTTTTTTCAATTAAAAAAATATTTTCACGTTGATAGTATTTATTTATTATTTCAAAGACAATGACCTTAGTTCATGAAAGATTAAGAAATGTTGAGAGGCTGATTGTTAAACAATATAAATATATTTAAATTGTCTTTGACATAAGACTATAAAATTAATTTTATGTAAAACAAGGGATGTGTTTAAAGGCGTCATGAATTTACGTACTAACTAACAAGAATATTTTTTTCATATAAAAGTGATATATATTTCATTAAATTTTTTTATAATTATTATTCATACATTTTTTACAGTCAGAAATAGGTTTATTATAAGTTACTTGTTTAAAATAAATAGATAAAAGTTATAGTGTTTGATATAACTTTATACATCACATTAGGCACATTACTTATTGTTTCCAATGTAATAAATTTAACATTTTAAGAAATACAGTTTAATTTATTGTGACAAATGTTAACAAATTAATTAAATGCAGTAGTATTTTATAGTTGGGGAACAATACCTAGCCAATGTGCCTTCAATGAATAATTGATAACATAAGTACATTAAATAATGATGTTCAGTTCCCAAAATTACATGCATAATTTAAACCAGGGATTTAGAACCAATATTATTATGATTTAAATAACAAAGATTTATTGCAAACTTAACTTTTACACAAATTAATTATACAAATAACTAATACGTCCCCTTTTAAATTTGCTCTGTGGAAACATAATATGCTAGTATAAATGTTATACCGATATTTTTGCATTTCCATTTCTGTAAGGTTTACGGAGATATAACCGAAAAATTACCGCTATTTTGTATTCTGGTTTAAGTCCCTGATTAAAACATAAAATATTGTTAGTACCGGGAACATATGAGAAACAATATGGATATATGTTAGATACATAGTTAGATGTAATGTACACAGTCAGAGCACACAAATAAAAAATAAATAAAAAATATGTTAATATACTTATTTATTGTACATTTTTATACATTTTACAAAAACGTGTAAGATTAGGTATGAAATCTGCTTAATGCTAAGTTGAACTTTAGTTTCAAAGAAAAAAAACATTCTGTTCAATAAGGTCAGATAACTTTAGTTTATCCAATAGAAACTGTAACTTTTTTCCTTTTTTTTTCGTAATTGTTTTACAAATTAACTTGTAACATGAAATCTCTTAATTTTATTTTAAGTAATAACTCACACTAATGATTCAATGTGAGAATTAAAAGAAATTATGAATAAAGTATATACTTTATTGAATGAAACATGTCAAAAAATTAACATATATATTTTTCATTAATTCTAAATGCAGATATCTGCCTAACTAAAACAGAAATATACTTTATAATGAAAGGAGCTTACTGATATAAAGAATTTTAATAGATACAATAAATGTGAAATTCTGTTTCTTGTCTTTTGTAACTTTGTTTATAAGGTATTTATAGAGCTTTTTTAAGATATTCATCAAACAAAAATATAGAAACAGATGGATCGCGTTCGGTTAATAAGTTCTTCAAATCGGTTGTGTAGCCTGCTAAATCACGTACGCGTTCAGTGTGTGATTCCAAGAATTGTTCTTCAATGTAGTGAGCAATAGCAGCATCATGTTTGTTGTGAGGCAGTGCTTGAGAATGTATATGCATTGCTTCATCAGCAAGCTGCTTCTGAGTATCAAGTGCTTTAGCCAAGCTGGTAAGTTCATTCAATTCCAGCACTCTGCTCTCCTTTGTCTAAAAAAAAGCACAATATAATTTAGTATCTAAATTATGGTAAATACGAATATCTATGAAATTCTAAAAATATGAGTTACTTGTTTCTTGAAATGTGGCAACTGATTGAAGTTCATTCTACCACCCCGTTTAGCTATGTATTTGATTACATCAATCGCATCCTCCCACATTTTATCAGAATATTTACGATATAATGCTTTAAATCCTTCACGCTGATCTTCATAATTTCCAAAATAACTAGACATTAATAAAAACTCAAAACTAGACTCAATATTAGCATTTGCATAAGATTGAAGTTCAGCTTGAAGTGCCTCAATAGCTCCATATTTTGCATTACAATTTGGTATTACTGCACCATCTAAAAATTCAAATAACAGGTAATTAGCCATAGATTTGAATAAATAATATGTTCATATTTCAACAGAAATATTAAATTTTACCATTTGGTGTGGGTCTTGTGCTGCAAGCTCCTTCAACATCAGTATAGCAAAATTCAGCAGATGCTGCTGCCAAAAGAACAGACAATACTCCAAAGAACAACATTTTTTTCTGAAATTTCAGACAATTAAAATATTAATAATAATTATATTTTACATTAAAAGTACAATTAAAATGTGACAATTCTTCAAACTTGTATAATGTAAAATTTAACATTACATACAAGTGTATACAATAACTATGCTTTTAAATTTTAATATGTAAGATTTAAAAAACTAGAAAATTTAAATATTCCATTATACATAATTATACAATTATACAATATTACTATGCAAAACAAATTTTATGTTACAACAAGAATATAATTATCAGTAATGATTATTACAGTAAAAATGAACAATGAAAGTAGATATGCGATAGACCAGAAAACACTGGTAATGAGTAAAAATTAACACTGATATACTAATAACCTAAGATCCAAAATAAATGGGGAATTCAGTATAATCAGTAAACGTCATAGTCTATATCAGGAAAAATTCATGCTGTCTGTAGATATCAGATATTGCACAGTACCATTCTCGTCACTACAATGAAATGCGCAGTATCTTGAGTATGAAACCAAAAAAATAAAAATGGATGCAGAACTATCAGTTGCGCTATCATACTAACTTTATCTCTCATTTATATTTTAATACAATTAATATTACATCATATTACTATAAAATTTTCATTATCTATATTACATACCTATTCGAACGATGTGCTCGTTGAAAAGGAAGCAACGTGAATACTCTCGCTTCGACGTTCTTCCAACAATGAACATTGAACAACACCGTTCGTTGGTAGTTTTCTCAGAGTCATAGTCAGCTGATAGGTAGAACGCATGCGTAAAAGAAAGGGAATAGAAACTTCCAGTTACTCCCCGTCGATTAAAATACGAATGGTACGCATTTGTTGGTCAATTATTAAATGATCGATGGCCGTACATCGCGTTTAGTTCACGCACGTTCTCTTATCAAACTTTACAATAAAGGCATCCTTCTATACCAGTGCGTATAAAGGTTGCTTCCGAAACAGACAAATAACAAGTATAGTCGCGATTTTGTAAAATTATAGCTTGACAAAATAATCAACCATGAAGCTGATTTACGTCTTTCTCGTCGCTTTCCTTTGCATCAGCGGATCATTAGGAGATGGACTTAAATGTAAGTTTATCATTTATTTGTAATATTTCAACTATATTTTGATAATATTTTATATGAAAACATTAAGTGAGGTTAACGTGTTTCCTGATAGATCCCTTTGTCCTGTATACTTTCCATTTCCAAGAAGAAATTGTCCTTGAAAAGACCATTTTGAATATTCTGAAAATTTAACAATTGTGCAGGTATGGTATTTTTGTTAATGTGGATATCTTTAAATTATATCTTTTAACTATTTATATTATATTATGTGTATTCTGTGTGTACTATATTGTTTATGTTCTTCATATTTCAGTAAATGTGCAGTTACTATGTGCACTTTAAAAAGTAGCAGTGGAATTTGTAACTTTGATGACCTTAATAGCAAATGTTAGTGACCTATTGTTGTAAACATCGTTAAAGTTTCCTCCATATTGCTTTGATGCAATAATGTATTCCATCTACGTAATCTTTATAAAGACCATTATATTTTATTCACAAATTCAGTTTTTTGGAGATACTTTCATTGATTTTTCTCAATTACTTTATGCATTATTATCTTTTGTATTGTTTAATTGACTTGATAACAGATATTTTAAAAATATATTAGTCATACTATGATTTCATAGTTTTCCTTGTGTGATTCCCCTTTATAAAATTAATCTGAAATTTGTCATTCTGGAAAATGCACAATGATTAACAATATGATGCAATCTCTATAATGATGTCATTATTGAATTTCATTGTTCATGTAATCATATTTTATTGCTTATCTCTTTGTACTTTATTATATATCATTGTATTTTGTGATGAATGTTTTAAATTATTTAACAGTATTTCTATCTACAAAAACATCATACTTTAAGTATCAAAGCACTTGATTGATTCTTAGATTTTATCAACTTTTCTACTTTTTGTTTTGCCAGAGTTAATCAGCTTAACAAATGTGTAGCTTATATATTATATGGCATATCTATTTTGTTTTTTGCCTAATTAGAAATTATTGCTTTATATTTATCAGGGCATATTTCATACAAAAATGCTATGAAAAGTCTGATGTTATAATTACTATTTTATATGAATAATATAGATAAAAAACAAAATTATGATATTTTGTATATAGTCATAGTTGTTTTTATTTTATTTTAGGTAATTAGATAAGAACTTCATTTTGTATTTCATACAAACTTTATAGATGGTAACTGTAAAAAAAAATGTATCTTCACATTTGCTACAATTTAGTTTACATTATTTCATGGTATTAATTAACAATATTATATTATTTCTATATTTGTTACAATTCATTTTGCTTCATTTTATATCTTACTAAAAATAAATTAGAATATTGGAAGCTACAGATCTATACTTCAAAATAAATTAGAAATTATTTCACATGAACTAGCATGAATCTGAAGTGTGTTAATTATTGGTCATTGTTGACAATCTTATTTGTGTAGCGATAACATTTGATAAGCTTAAGTGACAATGCAAACGTATTGATTTCTGTCTGTTCTAAAGTCCACATTAAATATGAGTGTGTTGTACGTTCTTCTGAGAAGTCTGATAATTTAATCAAAACTACTTTATATCATTGGTTTCCTGTCCCATTGTCACAAAACAGCTTTTGTTTGAATTTCAAATTGTAAAGTTAATATAATGTATTTTTCACATCAGTTCCTGTTTACTTTAATATTATTACCCTATGTATTAAAGGGTTAATGATTTATATTAATATGTATTTTGAAAAAATGAATGCATAAACCAAAATTACATATACGTAATTGCATATTACTGTAAAAGAATTAAAGATAACACAAAGTATAAACTGTTTATGAGTGATAATGATAATCAAAATAATCTGAAGAGATACATGTTTTTGTAATTATGAAAGATATGGGAGTATCTTATCTACAGTGACACATTTTCATTGTAGCTAATAAGTTGTGATAATCACTTTATTACTTAGCAATAGTTTTAACAGCTCTTTAAAATATGATTTCACACATAATCTGATACATTGTCAATTTATGTTTTAGGTACACTGAAACCTGCTGATGTACCAAAAGCATGGTTGGACATGGTTGAACCATGTACAAAAATTTTGGAATCACAGGTCAAAACTGAAATTGAAGCTGCTATGACTTACCTCGCAATGGTAATCATAATTATTATTGCTGTATTATAGTAATATTTTTATTATGAAAAAAGTTATATTTATGTACATTATGTTTCTTATTAGGGTGCCCATTTTGCTCGTGATTCAGTGAATCGTCCTGGATTCAGCAAATTTTTCTTCGAGTCTGCCAATGAAGAAAGAGAACATGCAATAAAAATTATTGAATACTTATTAATGCGTGGTCAATTAACAAACGATGTTAGCAAACTTTTGAAATTCCCATTGGTATGTACTTAAAATTATTTTAATACAATTTTATTTTGAGTTTAATTAATAATTCGCTTTAATTCAACGAAGGTCGAAGGCCAACAGTTAAATTATCGCAAAGAGGATAATGTTTCTTCTCCAGGAATTGATTCGAGCACAGCTCGATAAAGTTGATAAGATAAACGTAACAAGAGGAAGTAATATAATCATAACAAGTCCAGCTTGGTTCAAGTTAATTTCTGAGAAGGAAACAGTACCTTCCCCGCGATAATTCAACTGCAGCCTCCAAAACTTGAATGAATTAAAACAAGCACTTCTGTACTTGTTAGAGATTTGTAAAGATGAAAATATTATATTTAGTTGCCATTGCGTGAAGACTGGACAAGTGGTCTTGAAGCTCTTACAGAAGCTCTTAATTTAGAAGCCCGAGTTACTCGTAATATTCGTGAAATCATCATCACATGTGAAAATCCGAAACCCAGCCATTTCAATGACTATCATGTAAGTTACATCAAGAAGTTGTTCATAACTGTGGTAATTAATATTTTAATTTTATTGTATCTTATTAAATTCTTTAATTTCAGCTGGTAGATTACTTTACTGGAGAGTTTTTGGATGAGCAATACAAAGGTCAACGAGACCTTGCTGGAAAAGTTTCAACTTTGGGTAAAATGATGGCAACACACGGAGCATTAGGAGAATTCTTATTTGATAAGAAACTTTTGAACGCTGAAGTTTAGTTTGTATTGTCATCAATATTATTTCAACAAATTTATATGAAATAATGGCCATATTTAGGTTAAACAATATAGTTTAGTTTGGTTTAATCTTAAGTGGATATAAAAAAAAGATATGAATTTTGTTTTACATAGAATATTTTTCTAAATATGGTCTGTAATATAGATATACAAGCCCTGTTTACAAATGTTTGTTAAACTATAATAAATATATTACTCTTACCAAATAAATAAATATTTTAAGATTCATATAAAAAATGCATATTATTCAGTCTACCTTTGTATTAAGTTGCACAAGAAATTTATAATATATAGGTATATTATGATATTCGGTAATTAAAATTTCCGAAAATCGCGACTTTTCATCTAAGAATCGAATTAGTCACTTTGGGGTCCCTGAAACCCCGGATGCTATAATGTCGGTATGCAGTCTCGTTGGTGCTTTGGGGTCCCTGACATCCCAGATGGCAACAGGTCGGTATGTAGAGAGCGCCACGCATATGTACCAGGGGTCCCTGATACCCCATACGACATCAGGTCGGTATGTAGAGTGCGCCACTCGTATGTACCTCGGGGTCCCTGACACCCCATATGATAGCCGGTCGGTAATCTACATGAACTAACCGGAAGGAATAATAAAATATGATTATTTTTAATTTTTCTTAGGATATTTCGTTTGTAAATCGTTTATGATTGATTGTGAATCTATTTTTAACGTTTGTTGCAAATTAGTTCTTTTGTAATTAGCAATTTTATATCAATCATGATGTGAGCCGAAACTTCTCAGTAATTTTTCATAATAAACATATTTTGTGATAACTGATAACTGTAATTGATTGGAAATCGTTTGTGATTTACAAATATATCATTTTCATTGTTTATGAGTGAATAATTTCTTAATTATTTACAAGTACGTTTTATAATAAATAATTGTAGTGTGCATGCGCTACTGATCCGGTCGTACCCATCACTACCTCGAACAAGCGAGTTTCACGATTTGTTCGTTTTTAGGTCTTATATTTCGCTAGATCCGGTCGTACCCATCACTTTTCCGAACAAGTGAGTTTCACGATTTGTTCGTTTTTAGGTCTTATATTTCGCTAGATCCGGTCGTACCCATCACTTTTCCGAACAAGTGAGTTTCACGATTTGTTCGTTTTTTGGTCTTATATTTCGCTATTTGCTTCGGGGTCCTTGATACCCCGGTGGCGTAATATCCGTATCCAGCGTCGACGGTACCTCGGGGTCTCAGATACCCCGAATGCCGTAGTGTCGGTAAGCAGAGTGTCATCGGTGCTTCGGGGTTCCTGACACCCCAAGATGATATCACGGTATGCAGAAGATAGTCACTGGTGCTTCGGGGTCCCTGGCACCCCAGGATAATATCAGGTCCGTATGAAGAGGGCACAACCAGTATAATTTTTTCCTAGAGTTTATTTAATTTACTTAATTTATTTTTTTTTGCTTATTAAATAAGCTCATCGAAGGGGAATAACATTTATGATTATATCCCTCTTTTGGGTCTCAGCTGAGGACCCCATTTATTTTACTTTTTCCAGTTATTTATATAATTTTATCCCTCATTATAGGCCAAGGCCATCTCAGTATCCCTTACATCGCTGCAGTCCTTCCATCCCAGCATTCCTTCCATCCCTGCATTCCTTCCATTCCTGCAACCCTTAATACCCCGTTTTTTTTTTTTTTTTTTTATTAACGTGGTGGAAATCTTCAGAAAGACACCTTCAGCCCCCCTGGGGAGGGGCCGGAGGTAGTGTGGGATTTTTACCCACTAAAACCACCACGGTGGCCTTCACTAGGGCGGTAGGGAGGGTCCTTTGACCCTCCGCCATGTGCCAAACTCCGTCGACATCGGGGGCCACACCCGATGCCGGCACTCCTCGGGCCGCGTGCAGTGGAGACCGGGGCCCCAGCCCCGAACCCCTACGGAATTCCTTTACATCCCTCGTTCCGTTACATCTTTGCATCCCTTACATCCCTACATTCTTATCATCCCTTAAATCCCTGCATTCTTATCATCCCTTAAATTCTTATATTGTTATCATCCCTACATTCTTTTCATCCTTACGCTCTTTTCATACCTACACTCTTTTCATCCCTACATTGTTTTCATCCCTACATTCTTTTCATCCCTTCATTCTTTTCATCCTTACGCTCTTTTCATACCTACACTCTTTTCATCCCTACATTCTTTTCATCCCTACATTCTTTTCATCCCTACATTGTTTTCATCTCTACATTCTTTTCATCACTACATTCTTTTCATCCCTATATTCCTTTCATCCCTACATTCCTTACATCTCTGCATCCCTTATAATAAATATATTATAAAGACTGCTTCGAGTAAAGGTAAGAAAAGGTAAGTTAGTTAGCAAAAATTTCGAAAAACAGCGCCCCCTAGCGGCAAAAATGCGAACTAAAATCTCGATGTCGAATCAGCGCCACCTGATTTCGGAAAAAGGAACTAAACCAGGCACCATTTTTGGCCCTCTGGCGGCAAAAATGTGAACTAAAATTTCGATGTCGAATCAGCGCCACCTGGTTTCGGAAAAATGAACTAAACCTTGCTCAATTTTTGGCCCTCTGGCGGCAAAAATGTGAACTAACATTTCGATATCGTATCAGCGCCATCTGGTGGCGAAAAAAGGAACTAAATTTGTATAAAATCGCAGGCCTTATAGCCGCAAAAATTTCAACTTAATGTCAGGGATGTGCTGGGATGTATGGAACGCAGGAATATAAGTGATACAGGGATGTAAAGGATACAGGCATGTAAGGGATGCAGGGCTGTAAGGGATGTTGGGATATAAAGAAGGCAGGAATGTGAGGAATGCAGAGATGTAAGGGATGTAAAGATGTGAGGAATGCAGAGATGTAAGGGATGTAAAGATGTAAGGGATGTGGAGATGTAAGGAATGCAGGGATGAAAAGAATGCAGGGATGTGAGGGATGCAGAGATGTAAGGGATGAAGAGATGTAAGGAATGTAGGGATGAACAGAATGCAGGGATGTAAGGGATGCAGAGATGTAAGGAATGTCGGGATGTAAGGGATAACGATATGTAAGGAATGTAGGGATATAAGGGATGAAGCGATGTAAGGAATGTAGGGATGAAAAGAATGCAAACTCCTCCTAAGGAGTTTATTCAATAAGCTAAGAAGATAATTACAGCAAATTAAATGAGCGCAGAAAATAAAATAAGGGTATATGTATGCCTTTAGCTACCTACATGAAGCTAGCCGGAAGGAATAAGAGAAAGAAAAGGAACTCGGTTTACAATTCATTCGTTGAATAGAGAATGTTATTTTAACTTATAAAATTATTTGAAACTATGCAATTTTAATATAAGAATTTTTCTGTTGGGAGAAACGAAGAGAACAAATGACATATTTGGAGAATAGTAACAGTTTCAACGCGAAGAGGTTGATGTATGAGCAACTGCAGCAAATTTAATAACGAAAGAATGTTTCCGATTTTTCTAAAAAGAAATGTTCCATTCAACGTCAGCAGTGAGTGATTCGGTTTTAATTCACATACCATGCATCTTCGTACTTTTCATTCTACAATTTTTAACTTCAAGACTATGTTGTCGAGTAGCGTTACTTGCGAAATTGAGCTAACTATAAATTGACAGTGGTACAAATGGGTAGAAAGGAGGTGTTTCAAAATGGCAAGAAATAACGCTAACTAAAAATGTGCTGCGTTAAAGAACAAAAAATAAAAAATTTACTTAAATTTGTTTAGGAATTTCCAAATTTGGTAAGATCAATTTCATAAAAAAAAAGCCTAGAAATTTGACTATTTATACTAAACTAACAATTTTTGCTTCTTATATTCTTTACAGTTTACAAATAAATAGTATTACATTCATCCTAATTATAAACTATAATAATACACTGATATTAAAAACATCATAAAATCCTTGGTATAAAATAATAAATTAAAAATAATAAATAAGACAAAATCAGGACATTCCTTTATTTTGTCCTTCATTTAAGAAGGAAACGAGATCTCCAACCGAAGAAATTAATTTACGTTAATTGAATCACCAAGATCACAGAGTGCAATGAATAAAGTACTCAATTACGTGGTATGGCACATGCTAAGCAGGAAAACAAGAAGAAATAAGTTATAGGTGTTCGTTAGAAGAACGTGGTGTCACTTGTAAACTTCATTAGCCGAGAAAAATGCGTTACCCCAATAAAGTATATTATGTTACCACTATATTTTCTGTTCCATCGTTAATCACTGACTTCGGGAACGGTTACCTTGCGGCAAGATTTATGACTAAAACAGCGAGAGCACACGATTTCCTCGTCTACCATCTTGCAAATTATACTTTAATCATAAAACATGAAAAACCTTTGCATAAAACATCGGTGATAGATAAAATTATTAATAAACTATACGTGATTTCTTTCAATAATTCCGTTAATCTTCATTTCATAGGAATATGCATGAGAATCATCAAATCTTAATAACACGTCATGCTTCAGATTTGATTATTGTTTGTTATAATTTGCAGGCAGCCATTTTGTATTGAGAATTTTAATGACATATTTAGATAATCATATTCTTCGATCTTTGAGTTTTAAATTGATGTATCACAAGTGCTATTTTGAGAAACTTTTATGTCATGAAATTCTGTTAGATTTTATATTTCAACATGTCTGACTAATCACTTACTTATACTACTTGCGACAACTACTTATTTACTAACACGACTTCAGGGCATAAAAGTATCTCAAAATAGTACATATGATGTATCAATTAAAAGCTTAAAGACTAAGGAAAGTGACTATATAAAGGATTCGTCAATATTTTTAATTATTATTATACACGACTGCATTTGAGCCATGTTCTTAATAGAACTGTATTGTCATCTTATTCTCATTTTCATCTCATTTTTCGCGTGAAAATTTTCCTCCCCAAAGCATCTGATATGGTCTTTTAAGGCGAGAGATACCATATGTAGAGAAGAGGTAAGAGGGAAGGAAAACGGTCGACGCGAACCATGCGGGACATGATAAATCTTTCGAATATCTCTTTTCTCCGATTGCCCGTGTAACATCGCCATCGAGCAAGCACGAAGTGCTACCATATTACTTCGTTTCGCTCGACATGCTCCTTTCCTTGGTGCGTTTTAAAAGAAACAGAGTCGTTACCTCCACGAGCTGAGAGATCTTTTTACACTCCGAAGAGTTATCGCGTGTCAGCGTAATAGATATTACATTTTTAAAATTCTATTTACACCCCAATTGATCCCGATCGATCACTCAGGCCGGAGTTTAAGAAAAATTACAACTATGTTGAAGCGTTTAACTTTTGCTGCAATAATAATTTTTTTGAATTTTTTTGACATATTAAAAATGATTGTTAGAATAATTTAATAAAGCAAAAACCTAATTATTTCAATAATCCATAAATGAACAAAAAGAAAGATATTTTAAATTTACGTAAATTTATGCAAATGTGAATTAAAAAATTAGCCAACCGAATACCTGTACTTTTTAAATTCTTTATCCTCGACCCTAGATCTATACACAAGGGAACTTATCCTCGCAAGATGTTCGTGTAACATCCTGTTGGATGAAAGAAAGTGTGGGAAACTGATGTATTATCAAACACATATCCTCTTATTCAGTTGGTCTGTTACAACCCTCTGGGCAGCCAACATTTCGTTTTAGGATTCCAAAGGTGGCTCACACCCTAATGCTTGTAGAGTGGTGTCCACCCTCCGGTGGTCAACTCGAGAATAAACTGTAGGATTCGGAGTAGTAGTGGTTTCAGGGACGATGGTGGGTGAACAAATACGTTGTTAAGTTCTATGGGGAATTGGTGGTGGCTGTAACAATAGCACAGGGATTAATTAAATGTTTAATAGAATACCTGATTCAATATCTTCATAATAAACAATATTTCAAAATAAAATAAAATATTGAAATATTGACAGGTGTAGATAAAATTAATTAAAATACAAGCCAGGCTATCACAGCATTCACATCACAATGATCTAATTCTTAATTAAAAATATTTTAACGAAAGTGATTTTTATTTAGTGTATTTTCTATTCAAAATTCTTTTAACTTATATGAATGTGATTAAAATTTGCAATTCAGATTACCAATGGCTTAATCAGACCGTCAGACCGATAATATGACTGAGCTACTTTCCTTATATTGTTTTTACAATAGGCGGCATTGCAACGAGACAATTCATTTTTCGTCATAAATTTCACTCAACGTTGATAAATCTTCGAACTTTCAATCCGGTGATTAAAGTTTTCACGCGAAAATGATCGGTTATTAATGTCCTCTTCGTGAAGTTTTTGCGCAATCCGCCCTCTAGAGTCATCTATTTTAGTTCATTCGTCATCCAACACCAAGAAAACTCTGTTACCTTGCCTTGTGTACGCGTTTTGTTACGAACACAACGTTGCTTCTTACGAAACGACGACTTTTTCTGATAAATGTGCCCGACGAATGGTAAAGAACACGTCTACCCTTCATTCTTCAGCTTCTCCACTTACCCCAGTGCAACTGAAGAAAATAAAAATTCGCCTATTAGGGAACGTTGAGACATTCCCGTGACACTCTGTTCAATGTTGTGTTTCAGACGGCAGAATGCAATTTTGTTCTTTCCTTCGTTGTAAGAAATGTAACCTACATTTCATGATTATAAAGTGAGATTATTGTACAGTACGACCGAAGAGTAGCTGAATTAATAAGGAGAAACGATTTATTTGCATTCGAATTTGAAGCGTTGCAAGTCCTATGCACTCAATTTTAACGCGTTGCATTTCCTATGCACTCGAATTTGAGGCGTTGCAACTCCTATGCAATTACATTTGACGCGTTGCAACATCTATGCACTCGAGTTCGAGGCGTTGCAATTTTTATGCATTCGAATTCGACGCATTGCACTTCCTATGCGCTCAAATTTGAGGCGTTGCAATTCCTATGCACCTATATTCGACGCATTGTAATTTCTATGCACTCGAATTTGAGGCGTCCTAATTCCTATGCAGTCGAATTTGGTGTGTTGTAATTTCTATGCAATTGAATTTGACGCGTTACAACTTTTATGCACTCGAGTTCGAGGCGTTGCAATTTTTATGCACTCGAATCCAACGCATTGCAATCTCCAATAACAATATAAATTTTGAAGAGTAAAACAATCTGTGCAAACTTTCAAAAATATCCGCAGAATTACTCGCTTATATGACACATATTTGCCCATCGTTACCAGAAATGATAACATTCTCTAAAATATAGGAGATCAATATTGAAGGTAGAGAAATCTTTTAAAAATCCATCATGGAAGAAAAATATAGACACACAGGTGATCCTTAAAGGCAGCCAAGAGACAAGAACGTGATAACGCACGATCTTGATTTATGACCGTAACTTATAGAACTCTTACCAGATAACGATCCACTTTTTCATTCAGTATGTACCATGAAAAACGTCCGTATGAATATTCGATTGCGTAGAATGTCGTAGAAGGGATTCTTGAAATCGCGCCACTTTAAATTCAACTCGAGCTCCCATGAAATTTACAAGATATATATTGTTTTAAATTTCATTTTATACTGGGCATGGTTCAGATTTACATTCACACCGAATCAAAGTGCAAATGAATATACAGGGTTCTCTATTCAACTCGTGCATTTTAGATATTTCGGTTGCTTTTGACAATAAGAAAAATGTCAAAGGGGAATGTAATTTATTATCGAGGGAAGAATATTATGAGCAAAAGAATTCCTTTTCAAAATCATACAGAATTATCTGCAAATGCATATGCACTTCTAAGTGCATCGTTGCACCTACAAGAAAAGTGCAGTCGTAAAAGAATCGTAATTTTCTGAATATTTTAAATAAATATCCAAATCGTATTTCACTTTTAAAACGATAGGTATGTTCATTGAACCCAACTTTATATTCATTTTCCTACAAGAAAAAATTTCAGCCTGCAAACTATTGCAAAAACACTCGGGAAACTCGGTTAGTCGAACGTTGGTAAGTAAGTGGCGAAGAAACTGTAGGAAAAGTACTTCTATTTCTTTCGTCAAATCTTGCGAGAGATTAATCGAAAATTTTCTCTTCGAGTTTCGCCTAAATACGAAGGTCGGCTGGCAATCTGACGAAGAAGAAACGTCTTCCACGATTTAACATCGACCAAGGTATATCATCGAAGACGCGGCAAAGCCTTTTAGGGCTGTCAAATTATGGAGACCCGACCTGAATTCACGATGCAACACGTTTTTTGGCGATGCTACGTAAAATAAAAGGCTCGCCACTATATAGCGTTCACTTTTAAGTGTCACGTCCTGCCCGTGACACTCGACTAGCAAGTTGAAAGGCAAAGCGGCGAACTTAGCTGTCGAACTTCATCGATGACCTGGTTCAGAGGGTTTTTAATGAAAGTGCCTAGGTGATTGAAAGTTTCCTTTGATTTATAGCCAACTGTATAGAAAGACAATTGTTTACCGAGTGTACGGACTGTCGATTTTTCTGAGAAACGATGTTTTTACCTATCTTTCAGAAAAATTGATTAGTCTGTGAAATAATTAACTCATTGTAATTTCTATGCACTCGAATGCAACGCATTGCAATTCGTATGCAACTAAATGCAACGCATTGCAATTCTTATCCACTCAAATTTGAGGCATTGCATTTCTTATGCACTTAAATTCGAGGCGTTGCAATTATTATGCACTTAAATTTGAAGCGTTGCAGTTTCTATGCATCCAAATTCGACGCGATGCAATTTTTATGCACTGAAGTTTTACGCATTGCAACTTGTATGCAATGAAATTCAACGCGATGCAACTTTTATACACTGACATTCGAGACGTTGCAATTCCTATGCACTCAAATCCGACGTGATGCAATTACTACCCGTTCCTACAACCCATGTCCATTTTCACTTCAATCTCTTAACCCTTTGCCCTACAACATCGTGTCACACTCATGACGCAACTTACAGTTCAAATGTGTTCAATTTGGTTGAATTTTGAGCTTAATTCTAATTATAAATCGTTTCACCTTTCCTTATTTATTTTAAAATTCAAGCAATAAATGAAACGATTAAGTAACTTTCTACGTGTCTTTTAGCCAAGAAAATTTATTGAAAAAACATGGTACACAGAAATAAATATTGGATATTATTTTTGGAAAGTTATTAAATATTTCAACGACAGTTGAATTATGGAAAAGTTTATGATAGATAAGTAGAAAATTATATTGTTAAAAAGCTTTTCCACGATGCACGTAGTTCGTAACTGAGGTGCAAGATGTCGCGGAAATGCAGTAGCTTATCCACTGGTTCTACAATACGTCTAATAGAAAAAACAATATTTATTAAAAGATTATTGTAAAATACTTGAAATAGTTACAATTGCAAAATAATGGTATACAGAATAAACAGAATATAAACTAAAATAGACGAAATTTATTTATATTTGAAACTAGAATTGCTCAATAAAAATTTTTAGACTTTTTCAATTTAAAACTACTACAACTCCAAAATTATATTTTGCAATAACATCATTAAAATTTTTATTTGATTATTAATTCTCAACTCATTTTATGTCCATACCAAAGTACTCTATAATTTAAAAAAATTATATGAAATTGGAAAGTTGAAATACTGAAGTCTTCAACATTTCAAATCATTTTCATTTACAAACTTTTGCAATAAGAATTTCCTCTATTCATATTAAGAAAGAAATATTCAAATAATTCTCTGAAAAATTAATTCTTACTGAAAATTATTTCTAAATGACGTATCATGAATAAATTCTCAAAATATTAATTAACAAAACGCACGAGTAAGATACTAAGTTTCGCTTTAAACGTTTTAGATTACAGATTAGCCTATGGCAATTCGTGTTCGGTAGTCTCCATCCCTGACACCCTCATTCCCTGCCAGCATTCAGGTTAATTAGCGTTCTGTTGTGGTGCTGTTACGACGCCTCTCTAACGTCTCAAGCATGGAGACGGTGGTAATATCGGGTAATCGATAATATCGAGAATATTCAGGTAATAATCGTCGATAGTAAGCGGCTTCGTCAGAAGAAACAAACATTTGTTCGTCAGCGATAATCTGAGGTATTCTGACATGAAGAATTGCTGAATCAACGATATTCAATTGGATGGAAAAAATTGCTTTCAAAAATATTCCCATTCAATCTCCACTCTTTTTTATCAAACAATTTTCACGGATATTTCGCTATGACATTCATATGAATTTTTTAAAAATATTATAAATAAAAATATAATCTGGTGATAACGAGTTATATTGAAAATATTCTCAATATTTTGATTTAAATGTATTACATTTCAGTGCTACCAAAAGATTTTAATAAACGTTTTAATATACTATTTGTATAACATTTTGTTGCAATATTTAATGTGAAAAACACATGAAAAATTATTCAATCAATTATTTGATCAACCGAATAAATATTTCCACTGCTAATTTTAATGTTGTTAGAAATTTGTATAATATTTAAGACACTTATATAAGAAAATTAATTGATAAATTGTTGATATTGAATTTAGTAAATACGAAAGACATTTCAAACCGCTTTTACCTGTATAAATGCTACTATTTTTCTGATTGCAAAATAAGACTCAAAAAACTTACGTATGCATATGTGTGACACCCATCAATGTTTCGCGTAAGCTTCAAAATCAACGTAAAACATGTATTGACGCAACGTCTGAACGTCAGCAAACAATGAGGGCTCAAGTCGTGCATTAAAACAAAACAAAACCACCCCTTTTCATGGTTTTCATTTGTAGGAAAAGAGGACAAAATTTTATCGTAACAATAAATCGAAAGTTCTTTTTTATCGAAATGGACGGATTTCTTTTATTGGAACACAATTTGGTTTCAATGGTTTTCAGGTGAAATTAAATTTCACAATAGATTTGTAAAAAATGCCACGAAATTTGTACAAATCAATGTGCATCAATTGTGCTGAACCTGTTAAATAATTTATATCTGTTTTTATAAGCAAACAATTTTTACGAATATTGGAAAAATGCATCTTTCATTTTGTTTGTTGAAGGAAATGGTTGAAATTTCAAAATAAAATTTGTGAAATTAACACCGTTGATGAAATAAACAAGGTGTTGACTAGAGAATGAAATAACACAATTCGCAAACAACACTTTGGAGAAATTACTACACTCGGTTTATTACATTCAACTAACTCGCTCATCTCTTATCTTTTACGAGCTCGTTTTAGATAAGGTACGCTAATAAACAAAATATGAGCGTCTTTAAAAGAATAGTTTACTTAAAAGGAAGGTATTAACGATTTTCACTTGAATTTAATGTGTTGCAATTCTTATGCACTTAAATTCGATGCACTGCAATTCTTATGCATTTGAATTCGATGCACTGCAATTGCTATGCATTCGAATTCAACGCACTGCAATTCTTATGCACTCAAATTCGACGCATTGCACTTCCTATGCACTCGAATTCGATGCGTTGCAATTTCTATGCATTTGAATTCCATCTATTG